CAAACAGGAAGGGAAGAAGAATGAGTTTGTGTATAATAGAAATATCAATACAAAGCAGCCCTATTAAATCATATATGCTTAAAAAATCAGTTGTTTTTCTTTCCCATCCCCTGTTTGGTACACATGATAATGCAACAACATATTGTGCAAGTACTTTAAATATCTTACCTGCACTACTGGAGCCACCAAGGTTGTATGAAATGTAAGAAGGTGCAAAATCTCCATCCTCGTCACTGCTATCACCATGGAATTTACTGTGACCAAACATGCACTGATTGTATGCAGGTGGAGCTGTAAGAGAAGCTGTGGTTAGATATGGATGAAAATGAAGTAAGAGTAGTTGCTATAAAAAGGGCAGGGTACAACTTAAGGCCCTATGTACCACAGAAAACTGAATATTACAGCAAGAAAAATAGTCTATTACCAACTTAATAGAATATTAAATGACAAATGTAGAAATTGGAAAATGGCTTAAAAGCAAGAAAATTTCTATGCAGAGAAAGAGATCATGACAATGCAGTGGGGAGGCAATAAATTTGAACTAATCACATAAGTGTACGTGTGAGCCTGCCTGTGAATAACGCACCCAAGAAAGTCACCACTCTAAGTCAGCTTAATGCTCAGATTTTGGGTCACATGCAGACAGGGAGGCACCCAGATCCAATGGTTAAATAACTTCATTGTGAATTAATGCATGATTAGCTTTCTGTTATGATAAAACACTGTTTACAACAAATATGTTAGTACCAACTTCCAGATACTATATTCAATTTTATATAATCTTTTATATGGAATATTGTATACAAGAAATAAGAATCCTTACATTTCAAAGAAATGTACACAACATTTTATGAATAAAGAAAATAGTCTCAAACTATATCTTATATGTATCTATACTCACGCAAGTTGGGATACTGCTGGATCCCTGGGAACATATAGTTCATTTGAGGTGCTGTTGGCGGCACTCCTGGGTAGGCTGGTGAAGGCATCTGACCTGGTGGAGGCACAAAACCAGCCATAGGTTGACCTGGCATTCCTGGTGGGGCCACAAAGCCAGGTGCAGAAGGCTGAACTGGCATCCCTGGATCCACAAACCCTGGTGCTGAGGGTTGAGGTGGCATCCCTGGAACCCCAAACCCTGGTGCTGAGGGTTGAGGTGGCATCCCTGGAACCCCAAACCCTGGTGCTGAGGGTTGAGGTGGCATCCCTGGTGGAGCAAATCCAGGTGCTGTAGGCTGGTTCCAGTAGCCAGCAGCTGGAGCAAATATACCAAAATTCTCTTGAAGAGGAATTGATCCAATGATTATGGGAGCTGTGTGGGAAAGGTTTCCATGGCAGCCACTTGGAGACAAATAGAACTGAAATGTAAAAAGTCCTCCTATTAGGTGATTAGTAGAATACTATGCAGGTATGAAAATAATTGTTCTAATGAGGTTGGTTAATAATATATGTAAGAGATAAAATAAGAACTTAGGAAACTATCCTGGAATTAAAGTAGTAACAAGGGTGGCATACTAAGAAAAAATCATTGGGATGAACAAGTACAAATAGTACCAAAAAAATTAGGAATGTGGATGAAATTGAGAGGAGAAACAAAGTTAGCCAATCTTACCTCTAGTGTATAATCAATGTCAATTATTCTACAGAACTCCAAATTCGAGGGTGGCAAAGGCGGGACAAGCATCTCCACTCCCGACCAAATGTCATCTTCTCCTGCTGCTATTTCACCCCTCTTAAGCTCAGCAACTACACGGCTGTCAGTCTTTGTGTGGCCCTCTGCATAAAATTTCAATGTCTGGAAGGTTTTGTTCAATAAATTGTAAAAAAAGTTTTGATTGATATTACAGAGAGACTTTCTTTCCTTCTTTTGGTCTATTTCTTGCCATTAATGAGTGGAAGCAGAAAAAGAAAATCCAAGACAAATAAGATAAAAAGGTATCACCATGCCTACCTGTTTAAGTGTAGCCTTGCTGTAGGAGACTTTGTTCCTGGTCATGTTGGAACACTCTGCATTGAGCAAGATCTTCTGGCCAGGCACATAGCCTGAGCGGGGGATGCGGACAACCATGGACAGAGGGCCACTCCTACACCAGAAACAGCAGAGGTACTTGTGCTCATTATACTCAATCGGCATCTATAGGATTGGAGGAGAGGGAAGGTGAGGGAGGGAGCTAGGGTATATAAATAAATGATAAAATAATAAAAAATATAGTGAAGTTTAATATTTACATACCTCATGGACAATGAGATTAAATCAAAGAGAAACTTAAAAACAATATGAATTTAAAATACTGTCAAAAGTAAGTACACTACTAGAACAATAAAAATGGAGATGATACTCATGATCACAATAAAAATATAGAAAGAACCATAAACATGCCCTAAAAATATAAAAAATGAATACTTATGTTATTCCCCTCCAAATGTCTAGCCTCTCAATACTAACTTGAGCCTGGGGATTTATGTTTAAATCCAAGAGAGTGTTCACTGAGTATGGCCTCTTAGCTTTCTTGTCTATGCCCCAGGGAATGTCCATTTTGGCTTCGCAGCGATGTCGCACTTGGCCGATTCTTGACTCAAATGAAGATGGAATTCCATTTGGGAGAAGGAAGGCAAAATTGAACTGGTGGGTTCCTGGTGGGAGTTCATTTTTCTCACCTGAAAGGAGTCAAAAAATGGAAAGTCTTTCCGAGAAACTCACATACATAAAAGGAAAAAAAAAATTAATAGGCAGTGAAATTTTCAATACTTATATCAAATACTTATTTCAGTACATTTATTTTCTATATATGTCTGTATGTGCAGATGTGCAAGTTAATAAATAAATAAATAAATGAATAAGTGAACAAACTAATTAGCTAGCTAAATAGATATACTGTTAGATAGAAAAGTAGAAAGACCATTGGATAGATAGATAGACAAATGATCGATAGGCAGACAAATAAATATCAGACAGACTGAAATACAAGCTTACAGATAATATGGTTCCTTTTGTAAGAACCCTTCAGCTATATATAGAAAGTACTATGTACAAAAACCTTAAATAAATATATACATGAAAATGAAATATGAAAGATTTAAAACTAACTTTCAATCATGTAAAAAGAGACACTTAAAATGTTAAATAAAAAAAAAGTAAACAAGGATTATGATTATGATTAGGAAGAGGAGGAGGAGGAGGAGGAGGAGGAGGAGGAGGAGGAGGAGGAGGAGGAGGAGGAGGAGGAGGAGGAGGAGGAGGAGGAGGAGGAGGAGGAGGATGGGGGAAGGGGAAGGGGAAGGGGAAGGGGAAGAAGAAGAAAAAGAAAAAGAAAAAGAAGAAGAAGAAGAAGAAGAGGAGGAGGAGGAGGAGGAGGAGGAGGAGGAGGAGGAGGAGGAGGAGGAGGAGGAGGAGGAGGAGGAGGAGAAGGAGGAGGAGGAAGAGGAAGAGGAAGAGGAAGAGGAAGGGGAAGAGGAAGAGGAAGAGGAAGGGGAAGGGGAAGGAGAAGGAGAAGGGTAAGAAGAAGAGGAAAAAGAAGAGGAAGAAGAAAAAGAAGAAGAGGAAAAGGAAGAGGAAAAGGAAGAGGAGGAGGAGGAGGAAGAAGAGGAAGAAGAAAAAGAAGAAGAGGAGGAGGAGGAGGAGGAGGAGGAGGAGGAGGAGGAGGAGGAGGAGGAGGAGGAGGAGGAGGAGGAGGAGGAGGAGGAGGAAGAGGAAGAGGAAGAAGAAGGGGAAGGGGAAGGGGAAGAAGAAGAAAAAGAAGAAGAGGAAGAGGAAGAGGAAGAGGAAGAGGAAGAGGAGGAGGAGGAGGAGGAGGAGGAGGAGGAGGAGGAAGAAGAAGAGGAAGAAGAAGAGGAAGAAGAGGAAGAAGAAAAAGAAGAAGAGGAAGAGGAAGAGGAAGAGGAAGAGGAAGAGGAAGAGGAAGGGGAAGGGGAAGAAGAAGAGGAAGAAGAAAAAGAAGAAGAGGAAGAGGAAGAGGAAGAGGAGGAGGAGGAGGAGGAGGAAGAAGAAGAAGAAAAAGAAGAAGCCACAAAGGAGTCAATTAGTAGACCAAGTGATCTAACCTGATTTCACCTTTCATTGAACTGGTTGATAAATCTTTTTTTTTAACTAATCCTATGAATATCAATGGTGTTATTCTTATTATAGACATTATAATTACTATAATGTTATTGACATTAGTAACATCAATATAACATAAAATATTTTCAAAAAATCAAGGAAAAGGGTAAACAGGCGAGACAGACAGTACTCATAACTGGCTCATTGGTCACTTTGTACAAATGTAGCCATCTATGTGTAAAAACATAAAGTAAACTCACAGTGGGCATGGCATGTATGTACATGCCATGCCCATCAGATTTGGGTTAATAAAGGTACTTATGATAATGAGAATAATGATACGAATGATGAGAAGAATGATAACTGATAAGAGTGATAGGGGTGATAAGAATGATAAAGATAAGGATAAGGATAAGGCTATGGATATGGATATAGATATGGATACTGATAAGGATAAAAATAAGATTAAAAATAAAGTCTAAAGAATAAAAAATAAGAATCACAATATGAATATGAATAAAGTATAAAGAAGAAGAACTGGAAATTAAAAAATAAGAAATGAGAGATACATTCATAACTATGAGAAAAATGTAGAAAAAGAAAAAGGAGAGCGTGAAAAAGGCAGAAATAAAAATACTACTACAGTGCTAATAATAACAATACTAACCATTTCCCCATACACGATATTCCATGGAGTAATACTTCTCCTCACTACTATAAGTCACCGTTTCTGTCTGGCTCTGGCCATCTCTCTGAACACTTCTTTCCTCACTCCAACGAACTTTTCCAGATCCTTTGAAATTCACTTCAATGCCTGAAAAATGTATTATATATCTAAATGTGATTATCCACAAATAAATATCTTGCTTACTTTAACAAAACTTGCTAAAGATTTGTCATTACGTACTAATTCCTTGTATGTCATGTACTCATAAATATTCTTTTATATTTTGAGCATAAAATATAGCAGAGAATTTCAGCTATTAGCACAAATAAATATCTTGTTGGTATATTCTGCATAAACTTTATGGATATATAAAAACCAACATAATGCTTGCGGTAATTTTTTTTTGTTTCACACAGCCATCTGACATTGTAATTATTACTCCTTGCTCCAATTATGAATCTTTTGTTATTTTCCATTGGAAATTATATAAATAAAAGTATTTGTTAACCGTTTATATACTATCCGCACCCTCCAGCATCTAAGTCCCTAAAATTCCTGAGGATTCACAAACATAGTGATGTGAAACAAAAACCTTCCTAACCAGGAGGTTTCACATTAGTCCCCTATTCGCCCAGTGTACTTCCCTATCAAGAGCTCGGCCCTCAGACGCCCCCTTATCACTGCGGAATTATTCTTCGTCTGTGTCATTTGTCACGTCTTATTTCCTTCACTTCTAATGTTATTTCCCTTAGCAGATTACTTCATGTATCAGGGAGTGTAGTTTTTCCCTTTCTTTGTGACAGTGTCATTAGATTTTATTATAATTGCATACCAAAGTATTATGTGTTACACAACTTTTTTTATTATCAATTATCAAAGAAAATACCATAAATAAAAAGTGTTTTATTTTCTGTCATCCTATCCATTATAGGTAAAGTTCCCCATGTGCCATATGGCTGTGTGAAGTTGATGCTATACCATAGTTTCATTCCAAGAAAATATTAAAACAAATCACTACTTTATAATTGTTCAATTTACTCACCCCTACAGGATAATTGTACAAATACAATCCATCCCTTTAAAAAAATAGGAAAACTCACCCCTACAGGATGTTGGGTTGCTCAGGGATACAATTATGCGACCTGTTACAGTCTGTCCAGAGAAGAAAACAGCAGACGGGTTGTCAAACTCAATAACTATTGACTTGGTCATGGTGTTTTCTGTGGAGGTATATGTAGGAAAAAAAAAAATTCCTCTTATTAAGCGGATCAGCTTGGGAGAGTTTATAAAAAAAATAATTTTCAATTTTCAATTATATCAAAGATAGTGAGGTAATTTCAAAATAAATGTAAGTACATATCTAACTATCCTTAATATGCTGTTAGCAGTGAAATACCCTTACAAGTATTGTTTATATGCAAGGATGTACATTTTACATCTGTTTGGATGTTCTTTTAATAAAAAATCACTGGACAATAATTGTCATCTTATCATCATACACATTATATACAAACCACTGTGTATATAAAATAAATTTGGTATGTTTTATAATGACCTTGTAACCTAATGTTGTTTTTTTTTCATCATTTAAGGTCACAGGAAACATTACACCACTTTAATGAAATATTCAAGTTGCAAGATTATCCATCTAATATATCTTTATGATAATATATATATATATATATATATATATATATATATATATATATATATATATATATATATATATATATATATGAATACACAGACAAATAGGTTATATATTGTAGTAATATATTACATATATTAACATACCTGTGCTTTTCAATTATTTTTCATTAGTCTTGCCTTTTGAAACTTAGGCCTATTTTACTGTACATATTTACTGATTAATCTTTATGAAGGCACTATACTTAACAAAGAATATATAATAAATAATTTCAAATGTGGTCTATAATTGGATATAATTCCTTACTTGATAAGGTACAACACAAAACAGAAATATATATATATATAATTACCAAGTGACTACTAAACTGTAATGCTGACATAACTAATACACAAAACACTACACTGATCAATTTATAGTAATTCACTCTAAATTTATTATACACTTAGAAAACCTAACTAAAGTATCATAGTTTCCCTTTCATATTTTCTCGGACACTTGTTACTACGATACGTTATTTCAATTCGTCCATGTGTAATCAAATATACTTCACTGATACCATACTATAGAACTTCTTACCTGATTCTTTATGGTGATCTGAACTTCTTACATTTATTGGGCACTTCTATCTGGGAAGAAAAAAATAAAAATGTTACTAAAATTCCACAGCCGACATCGCTTCTTTCAAACTTGCCACCTTACTCAAATCCATGTGTTTAATGTTTTGCTATTGTTTTTTGTTGTTGTTTTTTTATTAGGAATATACGAGAAACAAATATATCACCCCTTTGATGAGAATCACCACCACAAATACCACAAGATACTACAGAGGCGAGCGTTGGCCTAACAACTGGGGGAGGGACATAATATCACACGCGGTTCCTCTATCACGCACCAGTACGGACCATACACAACAATTTTGTCCTTTTTTACTATAGTAATGCAATGACGCAGCGTGATGATCACACCTTCAAACCGGGGAATACATATACTTACATTCGTTCGTTCATTAAATGCTCTGTCAGATGGGTGTCAGTGGGTAAAACTGTATGGCATAGAGTATATCTTTGGCTGTGCTCCAACAGACGGCCGTACTAGTCTAAGAACTCACTGGCTATCGGGTATTTGAGGGGCGTGGCTTCTACT